CATTTCCCACACACGAATGCGGTGGAGCAGTATTTACCGGCCTTCCTCCTCGCTCTTTTTGCAGCTGTTTCCGCCCTGTTTTGCTCCTCGGCATGTAGTGATCCTGCCTTCACGATGCCCCGCCATGAGTATCGATCCTCTGCCAGCTCCTGCCAGTTTGAGATGTCGATGTTGGCCGACTTCATGCCTCTTTTGCTTATATCTAAGTATCTCAGACAAGGCCGTCCAACCATGGGCGCAAGCAGAAAACTTTCTAGGGGGGGGGAGGCAAAAAAAATCGATTAACTTTCGGGGTGGGGGGGGCAAAATTTTTTTAGTAATGTTTTAATGTAGTTTTAATTTACTGTTGCGTATTTGTATGGTGAACGAACGGACAGGACATCAGCTTAGTTACTTTCTCTTTATTTTCTCTTTACTTTAATACATTTTTTGTCTATTTTTGTCTAATTTTTTTTTATCCAATCAATCCAGAGCCCCCTTGCCCCCCCCCCTGCGGGCGCCCATGCGTCCAACTGACCTTTTCCCTGTCACCAGCTTGCTGTATAGCACGTCCTTTGGTATGCGACCAGGTTGCATTCGCTTAACGTGTCCAAGCCAGCGGAGGCGTCTTTGGATTAACATGGCTGGGACGCTACACATGTTTGTTTGGGACAGGACCTCCGTGTTGGGGACTTTGTCTTGCCATTTAATGTCATGGATGTGGCGGAGGCATCTGAGGTGGAAGCCATTGAGCCTTCTTTCGTGGTTAGAGTATGTGGTCCACGACTCGCATCCATACAGGAGTGTGCTCAGTACGCAGGCCTGGTACACCTGCAGCTTAGTTCTTGTCGTGAGTTTTGCGTTTGACCAGACTCTTTTCTTCAGTCTGGCCATAACAGTTGCGGCCTTCCCTATCCTCCCACTTATCTCATCCTCCATTGAGAGGGTGCTCGATATGTTGGATCCCAGATATATATTTTTTAAAATGCATTTGTTGATGAAGTGGTTTACGAAAAAAAAATATTTAACATAAAAAATATATATCAGCATTACTATTTAGTAACAACGTACAATATAGTATTTGTATAAACACAACTGGTCTAGAGACACCTATATTCCTTTGATTTACGACTAGTGTGGAATAATGCGGAACTAAAATCAGGCAGACACCAAAAGGCATTCCTGCATTTTGAGTATATAAGAAAAAATGTCTCGACCCTCTCTAGACCACTTCCCCCCCCCCCTTTGATTTCAAACGGGCGCCATTGTCGCCCTCGATTTCTGCGTTCCCCTCACCTACGCCGATCAGTGTGTTACCGTACGGGGTGAAACTAAGCTGGGGTCTAAAGCATACCCTGGTGGGGGTGGTGGGGTGCGCCACAATGAAGTGAATTCAGGGTATGTATGACACTGGGTATCACAATGCCTAATTTTTGCGCTGATGAAAAATACCCCCACCTCTTTCCGAAAATGTGAAATGCTCCCCCTGGTGTGACATTTTCCGACCATTCTTTCCCACTTTTACTGGTAAGCCAAGTGCACCCTCAATTTCTGCCCCCCCACCCCCTCATCAAAATAACAATGTCGGTAATTTTTTATCTACAGAAAACAACAACGAGGAATGTTAGTATTGAAGATGAGTTTCTTGAAGTGACAAATAAATTATTTTTATTTACCTTTACTTAAGTAGATTACAGGGAGAAACTTGACTGTGACTAAAAATTTCGCCTCCCCCTTCCACGACAAAAACTCTGCACTAATCCGAAAATGCCACCCATTAATAAAAAGAAAAAAAAAAAGGTCCGCACTTTCTGCCCCCTTCCTATGGCAGCTATGCGATTGCATTGATGCTATTTTCTTTGACTTGAGTGTGTTATAAGGCATGTGTACTTAATTAAATGAGTAACTTGTTAATTAAAAATGCGAATCTATTATATTTAAAATTCCACAGGGGAGGCTACTTTAATTATTTAATTCTGTGTTATCTAATGTTTTTGATTTATTTGCCTAGTTTAAATTTTATTTTGACTAAATACTGCAATTTTAGAAGCGGATTAGTAATGTAAACAATCATCTTGTTATGCATTATTGATCAATGTTATTGTTTTGAGTCCTCGAACTTGTGTTGCGTTTGTTGGTGACTGTGGGAAGTCTTTATTAGTTCAATCTTTAGTAGCTAGTCTCGGCGCTCTCGCCGTGGGCGTGACTCAGCTGCACAACATGAGTCTTGTTCCAATGATGGCAGCCCCCCATGCCAATGTAGCATCAGTTCATTTTCTCAATGAAACCTGCAAAAAAAAGTTTAAGTCCTATAAAAATAGTGTAATCTTAGATATTGGGGATGGCAAAAAAATATCTGGCATATCAACCATTGGAAAATACCTTCTAAGAACACAAGATGAATTTAAAGATTTTCTCCTTGAAGATCGAATGGCAGTTGAACAGTGGCTAGAGTACAGGCACTTAATTGAAAATGCTGCTCAAGATTCAGAGTTGCAAAAAGTTGTTTTGAAAGAGCTGAATCAATATCTAAAAGACAAAGTATATTTTGTAGCACAACAACTGACATTAGAAGACATTCTTGTGTATCATAGCATCTATGATATTTTTAAAACATTGACTTTTCTTGATAAAGAAAAATACATAAACTTATCAAGATGGTTTAGTTTAGCAATGTCCAGCAAGACAAAAAAATAAGACAGTCATTGATTCCTCTTGTTTTTCTAAGGACTCCCATCTACGATGGTAATGGTGGTCATTGATATCTTTAAGTTTTTTTAAATTTGGATGGTGGCATACAAATAAAACAATAATAATGCTTAAATTTTTTTTAACTTGTAGTTTTACTTTCTGATTATTTAACTTGTTCAAATAAAATTATAATAGCTTTGAATTTGAAAGAAAATCTATTCCAAATCATTCTTGGTGAACATTCTGCTTGATTAAAAAGTAAAAACAGTAAATAAACTACTGTTTCATTCTTTTGTTAATTTAAAGTAATAGTGCAAAAAATGTTGGAGCCACCACGATTTTTTTTTAAGTCACATGTTGTGTAATAACAGAATAAATGTATTAGCTATTATTAGTAGTGCATCTTAATAAAATTGTATAGTTTAAAAATATATTTAAATGTTTAATTTACTGATGCACTACAGTACAAAATATTTTTTTTTAAAGTAATTGTTGGGCAAGATTAAAATATATTTTAACAAAAATGAAATTATTTAATTTAACATTATTAATGTTGCTTTTTTTTTAAAATCTAGAAAAGCTTGACTATCAACAAATAGATGTGTAACTTTGTTACGTCTAGTGATTAAAAAAAATTATTACTAGAACTAAAATTATTTTTTGTTCATTTTTTACTAACAGCACATTAAATCATGATCAGTTTATTTATGATGCAAAATCAAACTACAGTAGCTAGCTAAGAAGTGTAATTTAAAATATGCAAATGTCTGAAAGTTCAAATTTTTGTATTGCTGCACTTAAACGTATTCAATTATGACATTCAATGAATTATAGTTTAGGTATCTGTTGTATTTGTATTATTTAAGAAAATAAAATGTTTAGAATTTTAAAAAATTTAAAAAAAAAAAAAAAAAAAAAAAAAAATTATAAAAATTAAAAAAAAAAAAAAAAAAAAAAAAAAAAAAAAAAAGAGTCTTGTTCCAAGTGACAAGTGTAAGTCCTAGGGAAAAAAACTCAAAGATTACTTAGTTCGCGTTTATATTAAAATTAAACGTGTTAGTTCCCGACCACCTATTTACTCCACCAGTGGACTGAGTTAGTCCACTGGTGGAGTTACTAACTGGTTCAATAATAATACATTTCATTTATCATTTAACATTCATGTTTGAGTTTGAAGAATTTGTGGTAAAATCAAGATCCTGTCACTGTCACTCACCCACTGCATTTGCATCTTTCAGATTTTTACATATTCTCCTAGTTTTGCGCCGAGGGGGGGGGGCGTTAATTCGGTTTAAATGTAGGATAAAATTGCACCTATCGCTGATGCTATTAGTGGCGAAATTTGACTCCAGCACCGTACCCCCCCCCCCCACACACACTTTTTCCCTTCCCCTCACTTCATAAACTGAATTCATTTCCGTCTGGAGCACATGGAGTATCTTTTGGCCCCAGCTAAGTTTCATCCCTGCAATCTATTACCAATAGTTCAACTATATATTAATAGGCTTAAATAGGTAAACTTACCCTTGTAAATGGCAAGCCATACAGTATAAAGTAATGCGGGGCTAACCTATAAACTTTGTATGCTAAGACTAAGACAATCAGTAGATTTCTTTTCTTCATTGCACACAAAATATTTGTATGGGTGTCTTTTGTCAACTGCAAAAGTTATTGTGGCCAAATAAAAACAAATTAGAAAATTCTATGGTTTTGAAAAATTTATAAAGATGTGGGCCAAAGCATTGTATAAATTAAAAAGCCTTTATCTTATTTCTACTTGATAATTTATACTGATTTTTCCCAAAGCCCACAGGCAGTTGAACTTGACATCAAGATGTCAACACACAACATGAGTCAAAGTTAAGTCTTGTCTAGATGTCTCAAGTTAACCATCATGTCAAGTTAAACACCATGGTAAGTGATATGGATTATTATTAATTTTTTTATTAACCATATGCTAATTTAAGATTGGTTGAGTGTGCTATTAGTTGGTTTATTGTGGGGTGGTTACATTTAGCCAATGTAAGGACTATCAACTTTTTATATTACAATTAAAAGTTTCATGAAGTTATCCATATAACTCTTGGGCTATTAAAACCTATTTAAGATTTTTATTTGTTACATGTGTCTGATCGAGAATTAAAATGTGTCTGATTAAGAAGAAAAATTTTGTTAATGGCATATTTTTTGTCCAAAAAAAATTTAAATAAAAATTAATAACCATTATCTATATGGCCAAATAATTATCTTAGCTTTATGGGAACAATTGTCTGTCACAAATTATTGGGAAAAAATTAAAACATTATATTTATTTCTTCTTATTTTGGTACCGGTAGGAAGAACACCACACTTACTGCCAGTTAGCTTGACCAAACATTTTAACAACCTTTCAAACATAGGAAATATTTTCAATAAACACATTTTTAAAAACATATCCTTTCTTATTTTCTTCTAACAGTTATTCCTAGAAGGAAATGGAATGCTACATGTTAGCAGAAATCTGTGTTTGAAGTGGGTTCTTGGGTTGGTCAGCAGATATCTATATCTGAAGTGGGTTCTTGGCTTGGTAACGGAAAAGAATGGGTAATGTTGGGTCAGTTTTGATAATACCAAATTTTTTAAACTTGTTTTGATTTTAATTTAAACAATATATTTAAATAGAAACAATATATAAATATATATATATTTCTGTTTTTATAACTTTTATTTATATCTTCAAATGTATTTAAAAAAATTGTTTTCTATTTCTAGCTTCAACTTTGGATGACACGATTAACAACCACTGTTTTAGATTCAATGGGTGACCCATCAATAACCACTGTTAAATCCAATGGATACTGACTCTTCACCATCTGTTAGCTTCAATTTGTAATTTTTATTCTCTACAGTTTTTTAGAAGTAAGTGCATTTTTATTTAAAAATATACTTTAAAAAAAATTATTGAAAAGCTAAACATTGATTCCTAAATGATAAAAACTTAAAATATTTTAACATGTATTTATCATAAACCATTTCATGGCTGTATCTTAATGTCTGGCTTTATGCTATTCCTTCAGGTTTGAGAACATCTGAACAAATTCCAACGTGATGTCATTTAACTGCAGACATTGCTGTGCTCTGTGGAATATTTTATCATCTTGCTTCTTGTTGTTATATGAGCATAAATCTCAAGTAAAGAGCCTAATAATATATTACTCATACAATTTATTCAATAACCCTAATTTCTTTTTTTACTTAACTGGTTTGCATTGATTTTTATTAGTAAAAGCATTTGTGAAAAATCAAATCTAGTTGTTGTAATTAAATGTACAAAGAAAATTCAAGATATTGTTCCAGTTAATTTTAAGACATAAAGAGTGAAAAAATAATATACATTTTTATACTTTGTTTATTGTTCATTGTGTAAAAGTACTTACACGTACACATTCAATTTTTACCATGCCATATTTTCAAGAAATATCTGTATTTCAACAAAAGTGATATTGATAACAGTTAGGACAGTTGAAACAAATTCTCAGCTAACATTTTAAGTGTAAAACAGTTATTCATAATTTGCCAAAATTTCAAAAAAAATGTCTTTAGGTAGCCATTGCTGGTTTTATTTATAGATGAAAAAGAGGTTTTAATTTTATTTTATCAGTTGTTATTTGGATTTAGAACAATTGCAATCCACAAATGAAAGATTTTTGAATGATTGACATGAATGATATAATAAAATAATTAGATTACTAATCATTTTTTTGTTGTTTTTATTTACTTTGTTCACAATAGTTTTGGTATGTTGGATGCCTTAACTATTGAAACTTTGTGTCCGCCTAATGGAAAAATCAGGCTTGGACTTTTTTAATTCATTTTATTAACTGTTTTATTTGTTAAGTTTTTAAATTATTTTATTTTTTACATTGGGGTTGTGGGCATTCAATAACTTGAAACTCTGCATTCATTAATCAATTAAAGTATTGCTTTTAAGACTAAATTAAGAAAAAAAAAACGCATAGAAAGGAACACTTGGAAAGTTAGTTATTCACAAGCTTTTAAGCTACTTATATATTATACAAAGACATGCTAGGATCATACTGAGCAGTAGTTCTCCTCCCATAATTTAAGAAGTTTAAAGTCAGTTTAATGTCACTGGTAATACATTTTTATTGTAAGACATAATGTACTTGATAAAAATTGTTTTTTTGGTGACATTTTGCATTAATTTATTCATGTATAGTTTTCTAATGCAGTCAGCAGTGTGTGAAGTCCATTCATGCTGCTAAGTCCAACTTTGAAAATTAACATCTTGTTTTGAGATCAGGGATAAGGCGATAAACCTTGAAAAACAACATAAACTCACTGTTTAGCTTTGGAATATTAGTAAGAAATGCAGTTGAGATACTAATATTAACTACAATTGAGGACATGAGAGAAATATCAAACCAATTTTTTACATGTGCTTTAATGAATGGCGTTAAATTTTTAATAAATTCTTAATGTTACGATGTAAGGATAAAATAAAAAAAAAAAGAAAAGATCCTTAATCCAATTTTTACTGTGTTTTAAAGTTAAAGTTTAAAGTATTAATTTATTAAATACAAAATATCAGTTAGTAGTATACAAACTAAAAAAATAATTGCTGTAACTTGTTTCGATTTTAAATAGAAATTTTAAAAGGAGTTAATTAAATAAAAATTGTTGCAATTTACTATTGACTTAAATCGGGGTTCATTAAAATCTATAAATTCATGTTTAAGATAATTTTTAAAAAGTACGGTCTAAGAGAGATAACCGAGAAAAACAAAATTTGCAATAGATATTTTTACGGTCTAAGGGAAATAACCTAGCACAGAAATTTAACTCTAAAAAGGAATATGAAACAGGGAAATGGGAAATAACTGTTCCATTCTTATGATAGTAAAAATATATACTCGGTAGCCTCCCTTAGACCGTAAGCCAGCTATCTTATGCTTTAAAAATTTTTTTTTTTATATATTTAAAAAAATACACGACAGCCTCCCTTTTAACATTCGGAAGTAAAAAAAAGGCGAGTTCCTGTTCTCATTTTCGTAAACTTTTTCGTTCTAAATTAATGACTTTATTGGATATCACAGCTTTGCAACTTTATGATGATGAAAACCAGGGAAAATGAAAAAGGCATTAAATAAAGATAACTTAACTATTTATGATTAATTTTAAAAGTATGATGAAAGAGAGCTAGCCAACAAAAAGGAATATTTGAAGTAAAATATTTTACAGTATAAGGGAAATAGCTATGCATAAAATTTTAACTTTATAAAAAAAAAATGGGAAATAACTGTTGTAATTTTAACTTTAAAAAAATAATTACATGATAGCCTCCCTTTGACCATTAGCACGCAATCTAAAGCTTTTTAATAAAAAAAAAAAAATAGAAAAAACCTCCCACAAATAAAAAAAACACTAGAGCCTCCCTTTTACCGTAAGAATTGAAAAAGGTGATATCCTGTATTCATTACCGTAAATTTTAAAATGAAATGATTGATCACTTAACCACTAAATTGTATAATTTATTTGAAAAATATACCATCCCCGGTAATGTCCGCTTAAAAGCTGTATCAGTTGTGGCTAAACGTTTTAGATCTAAATTGATGAATTTATGGGATATCAAAGCACTGCTACTTAGTGATGATGAAAACCAGGGGAAATAAAAAATGTACGGAAATGGAAGATAACACAACCTTATATTTAATTAAATTTATATGTATTTTTCTTAGAAAGGCGTATTCAATTAACATATTCTGATTACATTTTAATGACCACAAACATACGTTAAATGAAAAATAAATATAATATC